CGTGAATTTGTCGATCTCAGTTCTGATCCTCCAATAATGGAACTGGTGTCAGCACTATCGATCAGTGAACCGTCTCTGCTTACAAAATAATAAGTGATATTAATAGAAGTATGTATGTTGTGCTACCCCAAACAATAGATAGTATCCTCAAGTAAAACGTGTTTCTCGTTCTTCACCGTATTTCTGAATCCGAGCAGAAACTGGTCATGGGGTGACGTGGTCATAGAACACCCACAGAGACAGACTTCACTAGATAAATGACCTCTCTAAACATTTCCTGGGCATTTTTCAGCAACTGTTCTTCATCAGTCATCTTCTGCAGACAGTATTTTCCGTGGAACCACTTTTGATCCCTGCAAAAATGCTTAGGGAGAGAGTGAGCTGTGGCACAAAGTGACTTGGATTGGTAATATACTGATCCATCAGTACCTGGCCCTGAACGGAAAAATCGAGAGCAGTTGGGGGGGGGGACACTTTCGCTGCTCCACTAGTTCTGGTTTGCATATCTCAATCCGGTGGAACCTGAACCTGTGGACTCCTGTGAAGCTTGAACAAGCTCGTCGAGAGAACATGTCAACTGTTGTAAGCTCGAGGAGCTCTTCAGATGGCTCGATACTCCATGGGAAGTAAGAGAAGTGCAAAATGCCCCCCCTGTCGCCGAATTGCGCCGGAAAAGCGTTGATCGGCCTGACTTCCACCCTTCTTCCACAGGAATACGTACTAGCATTTTGAACGCGATGCGGCCTATACAATGACTTGCAGGGGCTACCCGATATACAAGCCATTGCCCCTTCCAGACCAATCTGGTATCTATTTGCCGGTCCCAGGGAGAACTGGGGACCCCGCTAGGTTCTGACGGAGTGACCCGCTTAATACGAGCGTGCAGCAGAGGTCAAATCTCGGATCGGGTTCCGTCCAGGCCAACCGAGCATTCCATCCTCTGAGGGGAAAGAACTGGCACCATTTTCTCAGCACTGATCCCTACAACCTCTTTGGCCCTCGCGAGTCATTTTGTAAGCCATATCGCATTGAAGGAGCTATTTCGACGGAGAATAGGAGTAGAATGCGCACCGCAACCCACAAAATGGTTAAATCAAGGGCGAAGGGCTTCTCTTTTGTCCCTCATTGTAAACTCATCGGAGCTCGAATAACTCCGAACAAATTCACTGAACCAGGCGATAACTATGAACAGGTGGGGAAACTCTTGAGTGCAGACATTTTATCGTCCTGTTTTCATCTTCGGTTAACATTTTGTTTATCGGAGTATAAGGAAAGATAAGCATGTTTTCGAAAAATTGTTTGAGTCATGAGACGAATCAGAGTTCATAAACACAATAGTCCCTCTCCAACAACAGAAACGTTGCTGTTACAGGATGAGGGGGGGCGCGAGGGCCAGTCGCCCGCTTGATTTTGCCGCCCAGTGGCCTATAGATTGCTTATTTTGCCATTTTACTTTCCTCTTCAAACCCTTTTCAGGGCGGGTTCGGCGAGGGGGGGGGGGCATTTTGCACTTTCGCTACTTCCCATCGACACATCTAGAGACTTTTCTTGAGTTGACAGGTTTAACCATGGTGCTCGACGAGCTTGCTCCAGCTTCACAAGAGTTCACAGGTTTCACCAGAGTGAGACTTGCCGGAACTAGTGAAGCAGCGAAAGTGCAGAATGCCCCCCGTCGCTAAACTGCGCCCCCTTTTCGTTTGTGGCGGGAGGTGGTAGCTTGAGATGCCCAAGTTGATGGAAAAGGTACCACTGGAACGTGAATCAGCGCTCTCTTACTTTTTCCATGCTCTGATAACCACACGAGAAAAGGTGATTCATCTTTCGCGCTATTTATTCCCCGCTTTTTGCGTTTCTCGAAAGGTTGGGTTTCTGAGCGATGCGTTACCATAAATCCACTTCATTGTCCTTTTCCAACCCCCTAATCCCGATTCCTCGTCGAGCGCCCACAAAGGGGTAGTATGGCAAGATCAGCGAAATAATAGGAAAAAGCATAAATCACTCCGAAGATGCGAATTGGAGCGCCCTGCGCAGTCATTCCATGCTCATTCCGCAAGGACAATGAGGAAAGTCGCATTGGGTTCCCGTCTCGTTGAATTAGGAAGAAATAAATTAGTAAAAAAAGAAGAAGAGAAAGAAAGGAGGGGAAGAGAAAGGAAGTGAGAGAAAGAAAAAGAAGGGAAGAAACTGGGAAGATAGAGAAATCATCAAAAAAAGAAAGACGCAAAGAGGAAAAGAAAGGAAGAGAGAAAGGAAAGAAGGAAAGGAAAAGAGGGGCGAAAAATAGGAATCAAAGAAAGAAAGAAAATAACTGAATGGTAAACAAACGAACAAAAAAGATGGAAAAGGGAGGCTTTTGTCTTTTGTTCAGTTCTTTGTTGGGATGCGGCACGCATTCTACTTCCATTCGAAATCTTGGCGTCTTCGAAGGCGATGTGGCCTACACAGGGGGGATTAAAAAAAGACACTTCGA